AGAGAAGGCTGGTTGACTATGTTGTCATCAACAGAGTTGCTATAGGTCTCAGTCTGCCCTTGACCCCATGGGCCCTGTGTTTGTTGTCTTCATTGCTGGTAATTAAAAGTTAATATTTGAAATGAGTGAACCCAAGCAGAAATAATGACTTTAACTTACAACACTGAGAGGTCATAGTCAAACATGTGAATAGAGCATGCTCCTTCCCAGCCTCTCACCCACAGGGCGAGTCCAAGGGAAATGTGGACTCGCCCTATGGTGGGAGGCCAGGAAGGTGCATCATACCAGCCTTTGCTGAGCTGCTCCTCTAGATGAGGCAGGAGGAGGTAAGCTCTCAGTGGAAATTCCAGGATGGAACTGAGTATCATTTGGCTCTGTGTGCAGTGGACGTGGTGGTGGAAGTTTTTTAACAGATTTATTGAGGTATAATTGATATAAGATAAATGGCACATATTTAAAGTATAACATTAGAACAGTTTTCACATATATGGAGAAACCATCGCCACAATCAAGATAATGAACATATGGATCACTTTAACCATTTCTTATATACTTGTGTAATCCCTCCATTCCCCACTCCACCTCATCGCTAGGTGACCGCTGATCTGCTGTCATTAGAGTTTACATATTTAAGAATTTTTTGTATTCAATAGAATATAGCCATGTATCGCATAACAACATTCTAGTCAATGACGGATGGCATTTACAACAGTGGTCTCATAGATTATAATGGAGCTGAAAAATTCCTACTGCCTACTTACATCATAGCCATTGTAAAGTCGTAGTGCATTACTCACATGTTTGTGGCAATGCTGCTGCAAACAGACCTACCACACTGCCAGTTACATACAAGTATATAGCATATACAATTACGTTATACAACACATGCAACTATGCTATATACTTTTATATGCTAAAAACGACTATGTTACGGTTTATACATTTACTACACTGTATTTTTATTGGTATTTTAGAGTGTATTCCTATTTACAAAAAAAAAAAGTTAACTGTAAAACAGCCTCAGGCAGGTTCTTCCAGAAGAAGGCGCAGTTACCGTAGCAGAGGACGGCTCCATGCGTGTTACTGCCCCTGAGGACCTTCCAGTGGGACAAGATGTGGAGGTGGAAGACAGTGATGTTGATGATCCTGGCCCTGTGCAGGCCTAGGCTAATGTGTATATTTGTGTGTTAGTTTTTAACAAAAAAGTTTAAAAGTTAAAAAGTTTAAAAGTAAAAAAAAAAAAAAAAATTAAGAAAAAATTTAAGAAAAGCCTATAGAAAAAGGATGTAAAGACAGAAAATACTTTGGTACAGCTGTACAGTGTGTTTAAAGCTAAGTGCTATTATAAAAGAGTCCAAAAGTTAAAACATTAAAAGTTTATGAAGTAAAAATGTTAGCGTGAGCTAAGGCTAGTTTATTATTGAAGAAAGAAAAAGGTTTTCAATACATGTAGTATAGCGTAAGTGTACAGCGTTTACAAAGTCGACAGCAGTGAACAGAAATGTCCTAGGCCTTCGCACTCCCTCGCCGCTCACTGGCTCACTCACTCGCCCAGAGCAACTTCCAGCCCTGCAAGCTCCATTCATGGTAAATGCCCCATTCAGGTGAACCATTGTTCATCTTTATAGCATTTGACTGTAATTTTTCTATGTTAGATATGTTTAGATACAGAAATACTATTGTGTTACAGTGGCCTACAGTATTCAGTTCATAACATGCTGTACAGCTTTGTAGCCTAGGAGCAGTAGGCTGTACCATCTAGCCTAGGTGTGTAGTAGGCTGTAGTCCGCAGGTTTGTTCACACAATGATGAAATCTAACGAATTTCCCAGCATATATATCCCTATTGTTAAGCAGTGCATGACTATATATATATTTATATATGTACTATATATACACCCACTATATAGAGAGACACACTATTGTGTGTGTTTCTGTGTATGTGTGTGTGTGTGTGTGTGTGTGTGAATTTACTCCCTCTCTCCAGTTCAGTCTTAGGAAAAGGGAAAGCTTTCGAATGTGTCCTCGGGAACTTGGTTTGCTGAATTTAGAGGTGAAGGTAACATCTCAGGAGCTCAGTAGACTCCTCTGCCCAAATGCAGTTGGCAGTCCTTGGTCAGACTTAACCAGAGCAGAGGCCAAGGGTTAGTGCTACCAAGCAGATTGCAGGTGGAAGCCTGCGGTTGACTTCTTGGAAGTCGTTAGTACAAATGCTTTTATAGTGCCTTTAGCCCATGGGGTTTTGAGGTCGCTGCATGATTGGGATAAGCATGGTAAACTCTACGACCAGAAGGTGTTTCCACGGCACTGGGGCTGTGGAGGGTGGCCCTATCACTGTCACTAAAGACCCTAGGGCTGTGGGAGCTCCGCTTAGCCAGTGCCAGCTCCTCTTTCCTGCTTGGACGCAGGGGCAATGCTGCACCTGTCCCTGGGTTATGCAGTGGAGTGAAAGGGACTTGGGACAGTTAAGAGTGAGAGGCACTGCCGAATCCCTGGGTGGCCTGCAGTCACCGTGATACGCTGACCTGGTTGCAATCATTTTTATGGTGAATTATTCAATACAGCGAAGTACTCTGGCCCTTATCTCTGCCCAGTCATTCTATGATAAAGAGGCACGGGTGGCGCGCCGGGACACCCTTGGTGACATTGTCGGGCCTCACACCTTTCCCCTCACATCCTGTGACAGTCCACGAGCCCGAAGACCACATGCGGGGCGGTCTCCGGTGTGGTTGGCAGCCCGGCTGGAACAGACTGGCCGGTGGTGCCTGCTCCCCAGAGGCCCCAGTTCCTCCTGGAAGCGAGGCTGGAACTGCCCCAGACACCCAGCAGGAAGGCCGCATGGCGACGGGAGGGGCGGGCAGAGCCGGCGACTCAGCGATTAGGCTTCAATCGTGCGCGCGCGCGCGCGCGTGTGTGTGTGTGTGTGTGTGTGTGTGTGTGTGTGTGTGTCAAGGAGAGGGGTACCAGGGTACTGCAGTTCACCAGGCGCCCACGTGCCTGCCACCCGAGCGCCCTTCACTCCCGCCCGTGGGGACCTGGGGCACGGCCGCGCCCCCTGCGGCGAGGCGAGGAGGTGGGGAGAGGAGGAGCGGAGTCCAAGATGTGATCATTTTGGCTTGATTTTCCTCCTGCCCTCCTGTATTTCTCCCTGGCTCCACCCGCTAAGCCTTTCTTCCCGGGCTGATTTCTGTGGGGAGATCTGTAGGCAGAGCCCTCCCAAGTCTCTGAAAGGCGGGTTCGCTGTCCCAGCCTGCGCAGGGCGGGGATCTGGAATGCTTAGAATATGTCTCAACTCAGAAACGCTATTTTTGTTTTAGTAAGTTTACATCTAAAAGCTGAACATTGATTCCATTATTTGGAAAACAACTTTTAAGCGTGTTTGGGGCAAGCTGGATATTGGAATCTGCTTTTAAACTGTAAATTTTATGTAATCTAAATAACAGCCACATATCTACATGGAAAATAGCATCCGAACTGAGTGTGCTGTCAGTGTAAAACACGCAGCAGATTTCAAAGATTTACAGAAAAAACACATTATAATACTGGTTACATGTGGCAATGATAGTATTTTAGATCTTTTGGATTATCTAAAATTAAATTAATGTCACTGGTTTCTTTTACCTTTTTCTAGTGTGGCTACCGGAAAGTTTAAATTTCCTGTGTGTCTCATGTTATATTTTATTACATTTCCCTCGGCCCCTGTGCTCTAGATGGTGAGTTAGCTGGATTTAGATGAGATAATGGCCAACCTAAAGGAGGACCTGAGTTCCCTCTGCGGACCTATGCCTCTCACCGCTAGGCCTCTCTGATCACCCACCCAGTGGGTGTGGAATTCAGGGGATGAGCAAGGCCATGGAGGGAGAAGAGAGGTGCTCACTGCCTGCTCCAGAAAGTGCTCTCCCAGGTGGGGTGGGAGCAAGTCTGAGGAGTGAGTGATTGCAGGAACTCTGGCTTCCCAGCTCTCTTCATGCCTGTGCATGGCCATGACACCTGGCAGGATGCCAGAGGGAGAGAGCCGAAGCATCCTGCGTTCTAGCAGAAAACAGACCACCAGAAATGGAGGGTCTTCCATGTTTCTATTCCAAAGCTGGGCCAGGCGCTGTCCCCTACTGGAGCCGAAGTACCCTTGAACGGTTTACCTCTCTCAGTTTTAGGGTGATTATAGTGACAACTGGATGCTTTTCTAAATAACTCAAACAATGATGGTGCCTATTTACAACCTTTACTGGACTGCCTCTTTTCACCAATCAGAATGTGAAATCTGGATTTAGACAAAAGATTATATGGAGGGGTGATAGTATGTTTGGCAAAAAGAATTCAAAATAAGATAACGGGCAACAAATAGGTGCTGCCCACCTACTAGGTTTAATACTCTCAGGAGTAAAGAGACGTAGGACCTGTTCCCTGTGAAGTGCCCCCTTAGTTGGGAACATCCCCCTCTTTTCCATCGATCTGTTCGTCTGAGCTGTTGTTCAAGGTGCAGCTCTGATCCCACCTCCTCCGGGGTCTTTCTTTGATTCCTCTAGGCTTCCCAGCACCACTAAGCAGTGTGGTGACCTGCAACCGCACGTACCGTAGGCCTCCTCGGAAAGGGATTGAGTCCATCAGTGTATTTTCCTTTGGAGCCATGTTCTAAGATGTAGATGCAAGTGACCTTATTATTTATTCTGATTAGTTCCCTATCCCCATAGCAGGGAGCTACAGAGTGCTTTGCAAAGAGCAATGCTTTAGTCTCACCTCCAAAAAAAATCAGTCTGATGTGAAAAACTTATTTATAATTTCTTGTATTTATAGCGTGTATCTTCATTGTAATCATTCTTAGAATAAATACAGAAGTTCTAAACAGACCACTCAAGGGCTGGCCAGGAGATGTTCAGAGAGGCTAGTGAAGAGGAGAGGGATGTAGGGTGAACTTGAAATCTGATTAACAGAGTCCGTGCAACACGCCCTAGAAACAGATACAGGATTTTTTGTTTTGTTTTGTTTGCTGTTTTTTTTTAAACTATTTTACTAAGATGATACTGAAACAGAACAAAGAGATTCAAGATCCCACATGAATGACAGTCCAGGGCCTTCCCCACGGCCCTGGCCGCAGCCTGTGCCTTGTTTTTGCTGTTTCCACCTAGGCATCCACCACACAGCAGAGTTAGTAGAAGCGAATGTGCGCAGCCACTGAGCCTCACACACCACGGCACTGGCATCCTTTAGGGGCAACTGGTGTGGATCTGAAGAAAGATTTCCCAGTTCCAAAGCTGGACCCGCAGGAATCCTGTGGGGATTTGCAAAGACATTGATGGTGTTGGTTCCTGGAGCATCTTTCTGCCTCTCTGGCTTTGTCTGGTCTCAGCCTCAGGGCTGCGAGCCGGGGCTGTGCTCAGCAGGAAGCGGGAGGAGGCATGCCGCTGTCTCCCGCCTGCCGGGAAGTTTCCCTTTTCATGAACAGCCCTTGTGCCAGGTACAATGGTCTCTCTGTTCTCTCAAGAAACTCATCCACAAAAGATAGAGTCTTTTGACAGGCAGTCCCGCTGCTCTGAAGCCCTTTATATTCATTTCTGATTGACAATTTGGGACCAAGGCCAAGAGGTCATCTAATTCATGTTGCTTGGTCACGAAAGTTGTCCTTGTCATTTGATGAGGCATGAGGCATGCTAATGGCAAGGCTGGGATGCCACCCCAGACTTCAAGGCTGTTAGAGGTCTTGAGTGCACTAACACACAAACACACAGAGAGACACACACACACTTTGGAGCCCCCGTTAGGTCACTTGTAACTTTGTCTAGCAAAACAGTCTCCATCAGGCTTGCCATAATTAAGAAAAGTTGTGACAGTACAGAAGAGAGACTTCTTAGGGTCAGAGGGAGGAGTAGAAGGAAATCAGGTATTATTCAAAAAGCTATGCTTCAAGAGGACATTTCATGCTGTCGAAATGAGATTGTGAATCAGAACGTTCTCAAGGAGCTGCAAAGTTCTGTCAACTAGGGGTCGGTTCCTTCTCAGTCATGGCACTGACTCACCTCCACGGGGCTCTCACCTGTGGGAGGAAAATGGAGGAGTTGTGCCTCTCTGTCTGTGTGATTTGGGGAGAAGAATATGGAGTATCTTAGTAGCATTCCATTATTACTGGCCCCTAAATGCCATGATGATGCCAGCCCCTGCACAGATAAACTCCTGCTTTTGTAGCTTGAACTATATTTTAGATAAACCATGATTTGACATCCTCAGAGAGAGAGAGGAGTAGATAAGCCCCCATTCCACGTTGGCAGTAGGGATCCTGCAGAAGTGGCTGAAATAAAATTCGACCAAAACAGACGAAGTTCTACTGTCATGTTGCTTCTGCCTATTTCCTCCAGATTCAAAGGCAGATCAGGTCATCTCAGAGCTCGGTCTCCTCCAGGACACAGCAACAACACACTTTCAAGGAACAGCCTCATTATTTATAAAATCTGTAGAGTACAACACATAACTGCCTCCCTAGCAGGAGGCTGGGTTTGGTTCTTCTGTCCTTATGATATGGCTTGATAAACAGAATGTGATTCCAGTTCTGATTCCAAAGTGAGACTCTCCCAGAGCATCCACGTCGTCTTCTTATCTCTCTCCCTGCAGCTCTCTCTCCCTTCTCCTCCCCACCGAGAAATGGAACTTGAACCTGCCTTTCCCTAAGGTCTGTGCAGTGTCTGTGATCCAAAGGACAGGACTGTGAAAGTGTCCCTAATATCTCACAACATATATCTTGTGTTCTTTTTCTCTCTGCAACTTGATCCTTCCCGTCCCCATTCATCCCGGAGTTGTAAGATGCAGATTAAAGGTTTTGTCATAGCAGAAGGAAATCAGAGGGAGATGCCCCATCTCCTGAGGAAAGAAGTTGAGCTTCCCAAGCAAAACCTAAGCAGAGTGCACATTCTTGTCTGAAAGCTTGGAGAAGCAGCAGAATTTCCAGGACACTTGAAAATATGTTCTGGCAAAGCCCTAGATGAATTATTTTCCAACCATTAATGGCCCACCAGCATGTGATCCCAGAATTCGGACCACTTAATGATCTCACACAGATACAGCAAGCAGCTCAGAGTTCCTGCTGCTTGGTCTGAGAGCACATCCCATCCATGGAGCGGACGGCTCTGGAGCCGCCATGGTCCCAAGATAAATGGCCACCCAGCAGAGGATCCCTGAGGCCTGGCATGTTTGCAGATTGAGCTGCAGAGAACACCTTGAGGTGTTGCAAGTGTTCAGAGAGCCAAAGTGTGTAGGGTCCAAAGCAAAGTCCTTCCTGGATGCGCCTGGGAGCTCCGGGGACCTCAAGCCTGGGCCTCAGTCTCCTCCTTGGTGGCTGGCTTGTAAATGACTCCCCTGTTGCCACCTTTTTTGTTACTGGAACAAAAAGAACACACAAGTCTTGTTAGTCAGAGGGGAGAGAGAGCAAGCCAAAGAGCAGCCTGACTCAGGTATGGAATGAGGCTGTTTGTAGAAGTTGGATTCCTCTCTTTTCCTGGGAAGGAATGTCACAAATAAAGCTTTAACCAAAACAGAACTTGTTCATCTTCCAGCTATTCTCTTTCACACCTACCAATTGTACACCGCTATTTTGAAAGAGGTCTCATGATCACCCCCGACTTCAAATCTCTGATTCCATAACAGGGTTCCCAACGACCTTTTTGTTTTTCATACCCTCAAAATAAATTAGGTTTTAGGAAAAGCCAAATGTGACAATAAAAACATGGGCAAAGGGCATTAAGAGTTAATGTGAGTGAGAAACCAGGTTTTCCTTCATCTTTCTTTCTGGATTCATAGAAGAAAAACCACATGTAAAGATCTTGATAAGAAGACAGCCTTGGGCCGGGCGCGGTGGCTCACGCCTGTAATCCCAGCACTTTGGGAGGCCAAGGCAGGTGGATCATGAGGTCAACAGATCGAGACCATCCTGGTCAACATGGTGAAACCCCGTCTCTACTAAAAATACAAAAAATCAGCTGGGCATGGTGGCGCGTGTCTGTAATCCCAGCTACTCAGGAGGCGGAGGCAGGAGAATTGCCTGAACCCAGGAGGCGGAGGCTGCAGTGAGCCGAGATCACGCCACTGCACTCCAGCCTGGGTAACGAGAGCGAAACTCCGTCTCAAAAAAAAATAAAATAGGCCGGGCGCGGTGGCTCAAGCTTGTAATCCCAGCACT